ACTTACTGTCAGCTATGAAATAGAAACAGTAAGGGTGATTGTTATACAAAGTATCAGTCGAACCGAGCGCAGAACTGGTTAAAAAACAGAATGTGAGGTAGCAATGGAAAAATAGCTAGGGTGGATAGTGAGGTGAGTGGGCGAGTGGGTGGTGAGATAGATTGGTTGGTAGATGAGTGGATGGGTGAAGGATGGCTATATTAGTGGATGAATGGAATTGCTAATATATAGAATCGGGTAAAAACAAGGATCTCGTGATAAGATGCTTCTCTCTTACTGTCAAATATCAAATAGAGACAGTAAGGATGCTTGTTATACAAAGTAATCAGTCGAGAGGTGCAGTCATCCAGGCGAAGTAAAGGCGATCGGCGTTATGCTGATCACATCACCCACCAAGTACCGAAAGGTCTTTAAAAATATAGGTCTAGCGCTATATTTTCCAATACGCATGGAAAAGGGACCTTTACTGGTTTTTTTTTTTTTTTTTACTAAGACTGGCTAAACCAGTGGGTTTTGTTAGTGCACCGTTGATCCTTCCCCCTCCTTTAACTGAGTAGTAGAGTAGTCATACACTATTTTATTTGCTGCACCAACAAGTGTACTTGGCCACACTGCCAACTAAACACATTCAAAGGGCGTCATCTTCGGCCAGTTAACATGAATAAATATATTTCTGTTTCTTTTTCAACTGCTTTGATGAAATAATCAATCAGTGAGGGACTATGCTTGACATCAAAATAAATAAACCACACCCGTTTTACTGATCTCATTGGATGATTGCGTAATCTTGTGGACAAGCCTTAATATAAAGTAGCTAGAGACAGATTACTATCCAGCAATGGCACACTGTATTAAGTGAATACAGCGGGACTTATTTTGATTATGACAACTTAGGGCTTTTAAAGCAGAAACGTTAAAAGACAGGATAGTTACTAATATCTTCTTTTCTTCTTTTTCGCGTTCACAAACTCTGGGGGGAAAAGGGGGGGGGGGGGGGGGATTCTGGTTTTCACCCATATCTGACTGCAGTCCTGCTCCAGAACCTGAGTGTTGCGCGTTCATCCGTTTTACATATCTGACATCTGTATGCAGACTGCTGATTCCTTGCCTCTCAGGCAGATGTACCCCGACTTTGAAGGAAGCTCCCAATTAATCGACTCTTACGACATGCTTTTGGGTGGGCATTGGGTCTTTTCTTGTTTTCCCTATAACAGGGCCCCAGAAATCCCACGAGGAACTAGTATTTATCCAGTAATCCTAGAATTACTAGTATCTGTGTTTATGTAATACCCTGTTCAGCTCTTAAGATTAACGTTAGGTTACACAGCATCCAATTGTCTGTGTACTTTTGCTTTTTTATCCATCATCTAGGTCTACCCATTTCTTTCGGACAACACACATTCATGTTCTTTGTATCATTATTATTTGAAATATCCCGTTGACACCTGTACGATGAATATTTTAGTAGAGATCACGCCTTTATGCTCAACGGGGAGATAGGAAGAACATCTATATTTTTACAGACTAATCGGCACTATGTGGGTAATGTGGTCAGCATTACGCTGGCCGACTTTACTTCCCTCGGACATACATCCTGGTACCCTTTTTAGGTTGGGTCAACCTGGGACGTCCCATACCATGATAGAAATCCACTCAGGCAGCAGTGGGTTTCGATCGCGAAACGTTGGAATTACGAGTCCGTCTCGCAACGCCTAAGATAAGTATTTTGATAATATTCATTACATTGTGATTTAAAATAATTTACTTATTACTGTTAAATTTATATCGTCATCGTAATACTCACTTTTAAAATACATATCTTCAAAATATTACATAGGTATTAGAAGAAATAGGCTAGTATCAACGATAATATCATGTTCAACGCCTCTGTTATCACTTGGATATGTATGTTTTGATTATTTATGTTCGTCAATATTGCGTTTGATTATTTCAAAGGGATGTGTGATATTATTTTGCGTTGTGATACTTAAGCACTACCTCATTCAAAACCAAATGAGATACGGACCAGAAACGTCACCACAAATATAGCGAACACGAAAGAGAACAGCAATGTTTTCTGGCCTTGCTGAAAGTGGTCAACGTTAAATCAAGAACACATTTTTTTCTTGTGGTTTACATCTTGACATTTTACTGTAGATATCAAGAGCCATCTTACTTTAGCATATAGACCAAAGTATATTGGTTGTTTAAACAATAATATCTTGTTTAACCCATCTGGGTTGTAATCGTATTATATAACGGTTTTTCCCCATATTTAACATTTCAATATTGGGTATTAAATATTTTAATATTTATGCTTGTCAACTACAGGTTTCAGCATGTCTTCTCTCTATTATCATAGGCTGGGCATAATAAGAGCTCTTCCGTGTTGAAAGCGGATAAAGTGTACAAGATTAATCAGAAGACAACAATGAATGTCCTCTGTGTCTGAATGCTAACAGTACTTATTTCCTATCTAATTCACCATTGATCTCCCACAATGTTTGAAGGAATTGGCACCTCTGCACTTCTTATTTACGTTTCGCTGCTTGTTATCGTTCTGATTGCGCTGACACTTATAATCCTGCTGATTCATTCTGGACTGTTTCGTCCCGTGGATGACGTTGGAACTGGGAAACCGCCGATCGGTCAAGCGACCATTGCTTACAAATTTCAGAAAGGTTCTTACAGTTCGGCTGGTCAAATATTTACCGAGGCAGCATTAATTGCACCTGATAATAAGGCTTTAGGCATTTACTATGACGATCCAGACAAGGTAACAGTATGTTGTCCGTGATCTTAGTGAAGTTAGTAGCATAATTATTTTAATAAATTTAGTCGTATAGTCTGGACCAGTGCCAGAGTATAATAATTAATATTATCAAGGCCTACTAGTGTTTGGTTTTAAGTTTAGTCTGGGAGACATCATATTTGATAAATTAAGAAATTACTAAACCATTACTTCTTTATATGGTGCTGCATTTTCTTCTTTATAGATTCATGTCGACAGTCAACTCACAGGCACCTTCATTTTTTCTTAACACACACACACAAAATGGCAAGAAGTCATGGTTGTGTTCAGTCTTATATGCCAACCAAATTAACACATCATAAAACATATATATGAAGAAAAAGGAAAATGGACACAAATAAACCTTTGGGTCAATCTTTATTAATGAATAATATGAAAAGGAGCCCCAACAACACAAAACAATCTCACAGACAGTTGTTAAAAAAAAAAAATTCAACAATCTTCATTCAACTCTTTCGGTTCCAAGCATACTTTAAAAAGAAGTTACTTTAACTATTTGATCTTAATCTCAAGGAGATTAAATAGTAACAGTATGAGACAGAAGGATAAAAGCCACAATTAGGTTAAAGTTGGTTAGTGTAAAAGGGATCAAGTACAAGGAGTTAACAAAGAGTATATTAGGCTCTCCTGTCAAATCCGGACGAAGATTAAACAGCCGTGGACGAGTTAGTCAGAGTTCTCTCCCTTGGCCGCACTCCGAACAATAATCGGAAAACAAACGAAATAAACGACACACTTACCTATCATCCTGCGGTTGCTTGTAGGGCTGCGTACGGTTTCGTGAGGCATTGTGAATGGTTGTGTAGTCATCATCATGCGGTTGTTGGGTTAGAGTTAGGGTTAGGTTTAGGGGCAGGGTTAGGGGTAGGGTTAGGGTTAGATGTTAAAATTTTGACGTAGGATTTGGAAATACTGGCCGACAATATGATGTTTGTGGGAGTGGCGCCACTGAAACTCTGCCAAATATGACGCAAATAGCGTGCGACTGGTGCCCCCAATCGTTGGCGAAGTGTGCGTGTGACCAGCATCCAGAGGCCCTCGATTGTTTGTGTGTGTGTATGAGACTGTGCGCGATTATAGGGAACTCCGGCGTCAAAATTGTCAAATCTAACGCTAAACCTAACCCTACCGCTAACCCTAATCCTACTCCCTAACCCTAACCCCTACCCCCTAACCACGCAAATTTATCGATCATTAAAGCATATAATTCGGCAAACGCCAACAAACAAAACACACCCAAAAAAAACACCCAGAATTGCCCTGCAGCGTCGAAAAAAACCCGGATCTGGGGGAAACAACCAAGCAATGGCAGCCCTGATGTCGACGTGACTGTCTTCTTTGTTTCGTTGTGGCTTTTCCGATCACTGTTTGCAGTGCGGCAAAGGAAGAGAACTCTGACTAAGTCGTCCAAGGCTGTTTATTCTTCGTCCGGATTTGACAGGAGTACCGTATATTATGTAATAATAGAGGCCAAAAAAACACTTAATGAGTTGCTTAGTAAGTTTACTTAGTATCTTGGATATCTGATGAGTTAAACCTGCTTAGTAAGGTTTTCTTTGCTTTCCTTTCAGGTTCCAGAATGATTACACTAAGTAAATATGGGACTACATAAATAAACGTATTATTCCAAAAAGACGGATGGCTCAGTAGAGGAAGCTGTTGGGGATGGAGGAGGAAGAATAAATATTGAATGAACCAATCGTGCATTTAAAGAGTGCAGTTTTCCTATAGGGAAACACTCTACCAATTATAAAACGGAGGCACTATCCATATTTCTAAATGAATGGAGCTCTGAGTCAAAAGTGGTAATAATGACAGATGACTACGCATTATTGCAAGCAATACAGAATGATAAGCAGATGTAATTCAGCAAGTTTAGATCCATGCTAAATCAAATAGGTCAGCTAACCCAGCAGACTGCTGCAGTGGATCCCTGGCCACTGCAGCATTAACCCTTTCATTCAGAGAAGCCGGAAAACTTATACTTCTAGCTGTCCTATTCCCTGCAAATGTCACTTTTCCAACTTGCCTGTCATGACCTGTTTATGAGATGAATAGTAAATGCAACAAGCTCAGTTTGTGCCTTCGCAAATGTTCAGGAGGTCAAGATATTAATGAATTAACTAACATTAGTATTTAGAGGGGTTTTTCCTTGGTGCTAAATGGCTTTCTAAAACCAGGAGGATGTCAGATTTGCTCAAAAGCCTCAGTAGTAAAGGTCACAGGGTTACGACATGAATCACCCCATACATGTGTGTATTTTATGCCCCTGGGGAATGTCATCTGTTTACTGACATATTTATTGATTACTCCTTTCATATATCTTTGTATAATTTTAAAAAATATTTCTAAAATGTTGATAAATACATTTTTATCGAATTTATTATGTGTTTAAAAAAAAAAATTTTTTTTTTTAATCCTAATGGAATCATGACCTATTTTTTTTTTTTTAAGGTCTTGGGGCAAAAGGGTTCAGGGAAATAAGAGAGCTGACTATTCAGCAAAAATGTGAAGTTATACAGAGCAGCAGATACAGGATACAATTATGAAGACAATACAATTCAGATCAAGGCAGCCGTTAGAACCCAATGGAAGACTTCCCATCCAGACTACAATCCTGAAGACCCAGTTAGCCTCCTTACATGAAAGAAATATACCATTAAATTTATATTGCCTACTGGACACAACAAAATGTGCTGACGTATGTACAAGAAATTAAAGATTGGGGATTCATAACCTTCTTGCCAGTGTGGACAGGCATGACAGAATACCGAACATGTGCTACAGACATGCTCTCTACATGGAATGGATAGATCTCAGGTTTGGTCTGTTGGCACTCCAGTGAAAACCAAGTTGTATGGATCAGTGGAAGATATGCATCCCACCACAGACTTCATAGAGACCTGTGGTCTTGTCATCTGAAAACCACTGGCAGGGAAAACACAAAATGAGAAGAATTAAGATCACATTTTGCACACTGATGTCACATTGGTATAGTTTCAGCGCAACTTTTACAAGTATTAGAATTCAGTACAGTTTGCTATGTTTTAACCTGGTAATATATGTGAATTTACACAATCATCATCATTGCACCCTGGACAAATGTATGTCCTCTGTCTCACGTAAACTCTAATGTTTATGTCTGCTAATTTTTTACACCATAGACTGGTTGGCTATATTGGCACAAGTGCCTGTGTTTGACAGGTGCTTACCCTGCCATCTTTCTTGAGCTGAGAAAGGCCACTTTAAACTCTTCCAGTCCCAGGCAGGTTTCACCCGAACTCTTGTCTTTTCTAAGTATTTCTTACCTACAGAGCTTTGCTTCTAGAACAAAATGTGCTGGTCACCAGAGAGTGTCTTTAAACAAAAGGCACCAGTACTTAGCATACTTAGCACAAAGTTTATATTACAGTAAGTTATCATCAGTTCTCGTTATGCCCAGTGGCACATGAGGCTTCAGAAAGGACTTTCCATGCTTTCCTGTCCTGTGCAATCTTCAGTGCAGTTTTCCATGTCAAAGATGCCGCACTCAGGTCACTTTCCATCGTTGGTCTTCATGTTGTTTTTGGGCGCCCCTGTTTTCTCTTTCCCTCTTAATGTATTAAACTGCATAATGTTGTGTACTGCCAGAATAAAAGCCCTGGTTACCTACAGTAACAAATGTTTTATAAGAAGTAATTCAGATAATAAAACTGAACAAAATAAGAAGTTAAAATATCAATTAGGATGATTTCCTGTGTGGGTTCCAGAGCCCAAGTTTGGAAGAAAAAAAATGGGGGGGGGGGGCAATAGACACCCCCCCCCCCCCCCTCAGTGAAGCATGTTGTAAAATTTGACTTAATTAGGGATGTGTCCTTTGACATGGGAGCGCAACAGCCTGAGAGGCAATTAACCAACAGTCTATATGCAGGTAAGCCAGATCTGTAAAAATAGATGTGCATGCAAAACTCAGGATTAAGACCAAAGTAAGAAGAAACTGCTAGGACATATAAAAATAACTAAATAAGGATATATGGGGGCTCATTCAGTGATCAAGACAAATGTCTGGGATACAAAGTAAGGTATCTTCTTTGGAAACTCCAGGATCACCAGACCATGCACTGAGGAGTTTCTTGCTTCCGGTCACCTAAACTTGTAGTCTTCTTCTTCTTCTTCTGCATTCATCCTTAAACAGGCAATTGATACATTTTGTTGTTTACCACAAGGCCAAGATATCTGCAGCTTTCAGCCAGTGAAGTTAAAAAGATGGGTAGGACATTAGAAGAGCTGCATGCTTTAGCGAAAGATAGAACGACTTGGCGTGTGTTGGTTGAGGGTGTATGCTCCATTGGTGGCTAGAAAGACAGAAGAGGAAGAAGAGACAACAGATCAAATGCTTAGGACCTGTGTTAGGACTACCACCTGACAGTCCACCACAGAGAGCAATGTCATGTAGACAATGGAAGCAGGACCAGAGGTCGTCTGCGCAAGCAGTGGATAGATGGAATATCAGGGGCCATAAATACAAGCATCTGCGTAACACAAACCAAGGCTCTCATCCAATTCCTCTTCAAAACCTGACGCTGAAAAGCAGTACATGACTAGGAAAAAAAAGAAGAAGAAGAATCAGCTAATCCCTAATTAGTCACCTTTTACAATATAATTTTTGTGGGGGAGGGGTATTTGGTCTTTTAAATTTAACCCAGAAACCACTGAGGAAAAACTTGTAGTCTGAAATTTCAGGCACCACTTTCCCCAAACAGGGGAAATCCAGAGGTTACGTGACAGACTAATATTTCAGGGGGTGTAGAAAGCTGCATGCAGTCGTGGAACCTAGGCTGCACTCTCTCATGGGACATAGGTGGGTTGGGGTTAGGGCCAGTTCTAGATGTTTTGGGGTCTAAAAAGCATCAGAAAGCCGGGAAAACCCAGTTTTACCATCCTCTAAAATGTTGGACTGTCCTATGATGTCATCTGGGGTAGGATATTAAAGCACCAAAATTTCTTCTTCTTTTGTCATGGCACTGTTAAATTATTAAAATGCAATGTTGTGGTTTTTCTGTATTGGTCTTGCACTTATTCAATGGATTTAGTGAAGAAAGCTGTTTATACTTGTCTAGTTAATTTTACGTGATTTATTTCAGGTGGATTCAAATGAAACACGATATTTGGTGGGGTCAGTATTATCTGAAGGCCCCACAGCTCCCAATGAAGAGTTGGTGAAAAAATTCATAGATCAAGATTATAAAATACTGCATCTTCCAGAGGTAAGTAAGCATGTTTCTGGCAATTTAGTTTTTTATTTTAATTAATTTTTTTTTTAAAATACTGTGAATTAGAAAGAACCGAAAAATATCTAAAATTTGTGTTAATTTTATTAATTTAGTTTCTCTATAAATGTTGACTATGTGGTAGAAAAATAAGAATTTAGTGGGAAAAGTCCAGAATGGAAATGTTGATAGTATTCAGAGCTTCAGCCAGGAGTCATTGTAGGGGGTTTATAACTTAAACTGCTGAAGAATTATCAAGTAGCTTTTTTGTAGTCATTCGGTTGACATCTACTGACAAAGAAATACGTAAAACACATGGAGAAAACATCACCAGTCTAAGCCTGTTGCCACCCAGTCCCTATGTACTGACCTCATTTATAAGCTGGGGTTACCTCCTAGTTGTGGCTGGCTGACTGGTTAGAGCGCTGGGCTCTCATGTGTTAGACCTGGGTTTGAATCCTCGGTGAGGTTGGGGATTTTTTTTATATCAGAGGCTAAAATAAAATCCTCACCTGCACAGTTTGTGACGACAGCACTAGCCATGCGGCCCTAAATCCTCTAGCTCAAAGACCCCCCTGCCTACACTGCAAAAGTGGTATAATAAAGGCAGTAATTGGCAGTCTGCATCCTAGTTTCTGTATGTGGGTTCCAGAGCACCATTTTGAGGGATAAAGATTAATCCCACTGCCCCTTTATAAGCATGTCCTTAAAGGTGACTAATTGAGGTTTTGCTGAAATGCATTTGTTGGGTTGAAAGGCACAGATATCACAGCCTAACTGTAAACCACAACACAGTCTAAGAAAACACAAAAGGAGAAGACACTCCAATTTGCCACTTGCAGATGGGCAGTTCTGGGTCAGAGCAGTGACCTATTTCACCTAGTCTTTTGTTTCCTGCTGCCAGGGAATTTTAACATGCCTAGCATGTGTATTTGACTATTTACTTTCGATGTGGGTCCTCCGCTGCTAAAAAAACATGTATATAAGCACAGGTGGAGTTATGCGAGTAATTATGTTTGCGATATGAGGATATGTGCATTCACTGCTGTCTCAAATTATGCAGTGATATCTTCTAATCTCATCCACAGTGCAACTGTCTCCTCACTGTAAATGTTTACTGTCTGAGTGTAGCACACAAGATCCTTGTTTTCTTTTCATGGTTTAGTTTTGACAACGTGAGTTTCATTTAATCTCGTGAAGCGAAGGGCTCAGTAGCATTATTTGTGCTTTATTTTAGTACACCCTGACATCTTAATGTGGAAAAACATCTCTATCAGAAATTATAGGAATACACAGAACAGGAGGCTGCAGACATAGTCATATGCATCTTATAGAAATTCATTGGCGAATGAAGGTCCAGCATGTTGATGCACCTGTGTTAGTCCAGCAAGTTGATGCACATTTGTTAGTCCAGCAAGTTGATGCACATTTGTTAGTCCAGCAAGTTGATGCACATTTGTTACCCGTCCAGCATGTTGATGCACCTGTGTTAGTCCAGCAAGTTGATGCACATTTGTTAGTCCAGCAAGTTGATGCACATTTGTTAGTCCAGCAAGTTGATGCACATTTGTTACCCGTCCAGCAAGTTGATGCACATTTGTTAGTCCAGCAAGTTGATGCACATTTGTTAGTCCAGCAAGTTGATGCACATTTGTTACCCGTCCAGCAAGTTGATGCACCTGTGTTAGTCCAGCAAGTTGATGCACATTTGTTAGTCCAGCAAGTTGATGCACATTTGTTAGTCCAGCAAGTTGATGCACATTTGTTAGTCCAGCAAGTGTGTGAGTGGAGTAGAAAGTTTCAAAATGATGTGACCTATGTGACATATTGTTCATGAATGGGTTAGGCACATTGAGTAGTGACCCCAGTGTCAATTGCAGCTGCCAAAGGCCTCATACAGGAAAACTACTAAATGCTGGGCATGCTTCACACTCTTGACACTCCTCATATAGAATGTCCTTGCACTGGAACCCAACATGGCTTAATAAATAATAGGAGACCAAATAACACACATGAGGAAAGAGTTACAGCCTGAGGTTAATAAGTTGGGAAGTTCATGATTATGTGTCCAGTGACTTCCGATAGGACTACATTGGCATGAGTTGGTGAAGTGCTGTTGCAGAAAAAAAAGCCAAAAGATCAAGTCAGAATATGCTACACATCTGTTCTATTGTCCAGCGATCAAGGGAGAGTTTAGGATCCTCCACAAAAGTTGCCTATTGATAAACTGTTTTTGCCAATATAAAATGATTAATCATGATAATACTAAAAACATCTCTGTCGCATTGTCCAGGTAACTTACGCAGTCCAAACCAAATTCCCACATATTACAACATTGTCCATCCTGATAGCTGTCCACAAAGCCTATCCAAGACTGAAGGATTACATTGAAGTAAGTCATTGTTTTCAACAGTTTACAAATTCCAATAAAAGTTGCCATTATTTGAATAATACAGTGCAGACCTGGTCAGGAGAACTCACCAGGGATCCAAGAAATGGTTCATTTTATCAGAAGCCCCTCTTATCCAGATAAAAGTTCAAGCAAGAAAAATTGCTGGTTGTAAACAAACTTTTCTTCACAACAGAAATTCACCCACATTCGAGATCACCTTAAGTTGTCTGCACAGTGTCTTCCTTCACACTTTGCAGTCAGGCATAGCCATTATAATTATTTAGTAATTACATTTGCTAACTTTTAACTTGAGAATGAGTGTGTGTGAAAGATTTGGTCTCTTGTTCTTATTCTAATCTCTATAAGATATACTCAATCAAATAGTTGTATCTTTTCAATTGTTTAAGTATTGTCCCATTTGCTTGGATATTACATTGTGGTATTTTGTCTTCTTGGACAAGTCCATAACTTTGGTTTGCGTACAGTTCAATGCTAGCCATACTTGATCTCTGTATTACAAAATCAAATATAATGGCTTTTAAGAAGAAGGTATACAGACATTATGCATCTCTATAGCACACCTTGCTTGATTGGCGGGTACTGGCCTACTTCATACAGTTTTATTGCAACTTGTTGTTTCCTGTATATGTTCTTTACAAGTCTAAGGGTTTTTCCTGTAAATGTACTGATCTGCAAACCTTTGTGTAATAAATAAAGCCTGATGTAGACCTTTTTTTTACTAATGTCAATTGTTATATTAATGTTTTGAGCAAATACACACACATTTGAGGTACCCTTGCCTTCTGTTAACTCACATTATCCCTCTACTATTTTTTATAGTATTTTCTTTGTACCCATGCTAAGTATTAATTATAAATTGACCCATTGTGTTAACTTCCAAATTTTGATAATATTTTGAGGTTTTGAGAGATGGCAGTAAGAAAAGATTTACATAAGACAGGATGAATGCCTGATAATATCCTGAGGTTTTAAGAGATGGCAGTAAGAATAGATTTACATAAGACAGGATGAATGCCTGATAAAATTCTGAGGTTTTAAGAGATGGCAGTAAGAATAGATTTACATAAGACAGGATGAATGCCTGATAATATTCTGAGGTTTTAAGAGATGGCAGTAAGAATATATTTACATAAGACAGGATGAATGCCTGATAATATGCTGAGGTTTATAATATCTTAAGAGATGGCAGTAAGAATATATTTACATAAGACAGGATGAATGCCTGATAATATCCTGAGGTTTATAGTATCTTAGAGATGGCAGTAAGAATAGATTTACATAAGACAGGATGAATGTCTGATAATATCCTGAAGTTTATAATATCTTAAGAGATGGCAGTAAGAATAGATTTGCAAAAGACAGGAGGAATGTCTCCAGTACCATGTGCTGTGTTTAGCAACCTGGTGATTTGGTTAATTTTCATACTCTTCAAGACATTGATAGTTTCATTTGTACGGTTTCCTGGACTACGGGTTTTTGCAGAATTTGGTATGTTGTATGTGTGATAAGCATAGACAATAAGTAGACAGACAAGGTGAGAAACATCTACTGGTAGTAGAAATTGATTTCTAATGAAGTTGAATATTTTGACTTGTCAAATCTTTATCGTATATGGACTCCTCACAACCAACATGATTGTCATGATGAATGAGAGAAAGTAACATAAAATTGACTGTAGAAAAAAAAATTTGTTCATTGAAGTAATTAACTGATTTCTCCTGCTGCTTCTGGATTGACTATTGAAAATATTTGTGTTTTTGAGTGCTGAAACTAAAAGTTAATGTTGGTTGAGGGTCTAAATTCCATTGGAGGATAACCTCTTCTTTTGCTTCACATTTGCCTGCTGTAAACTCTGGTAGAAAAGTTCTGATTGTTCATCCACTTCTAGAAATTAGTCTTGTTCCAGAACTTGAGTTTTGCTTGCACATTTATTCTACACATCTGCCTTATTTGTGTGCAGACTGTTGGTTCTTTGCCTCTCATGTAAATGCACTCAGACTTTAAAGGAAACCTCTGAATAGTTGACTCTTACATGTTTGTTATGGATGCACTTGGTCTGTTCCCCCCACCTCTCCAAAAAATGGGGTCCGGTGAGGTTGAGGAGAGGGGAGGGGGTGATGGGCAGAACATATGAAGAAAAGAAAATAATACTGTTCAATTGCTCATAATACATAAATGTTAATAATTTCCATTGCAGGAGCATAAGCTGTGTGCACATCCCTTCATTGAAATCTACGATGGAAAGACAATCCATTTTGTGGCTCCCTTGTCCAAACAAGACGAGTTTTATGTACCTGAGTGTGAACAGCCAAAATGTGGTGACCAGGACTTAAGTGATGGAGATGGAACTGTGCTAGATACATCGGCTTCTGCCCTCGGTGAATCTCAAGAAAGTCAGAATGTTAGCCACACCACTGATGACTCTTTGTCACAGGATATGCCAGAGCCGGAACCAGAAGAGGAGCTGCAAGACAAATCAGCTCCCATTGATGTGGATTATGCTGAAGATGTGGAGGATAGCAATGGTAATAATAATTTGGTGGAAGGGAATGGGGAGGAAAGAGCCAATGATGATGAACAGGCCTCCGATGATTCCTCATCCTCCTTTGAAGTACTGAGAACTGAAACCGCTGAATAAAGTGGACATTTCAGCTTGCTGCTTTGCTTTGTCGTGTAATGTTTAGCTTAGCTTATCATGTTATCTCATGTGGTTGCAGGAATATATACTCACTGGTTCACATAAAAGTAATAAATATTTGCCAAGCATTGTACCCCTTTGTCAACACATGTTTCCATCTTTTTGTTAATTTTAGCTGTTTGTTTGAATTTATTTTGTCTTATAATACTGAGTTGCAGTGATGTAATGTATAGACACTTTCTTGAAGGTTTTGAGTTTAAATCTGAATGAGAGTGTATTTTTTAAAATAACTCTTATTGGCCCTCAAATCTACCAAAAAACAACCTGGGAAGTAAGGATGTCACAGTGTTCACCGCATGGCCCATTCAGTGCTGACTGATCTATAAAGATATGGGTATAACACTATATGGCCGATGTGCCAGGGGTATTAAAATAGTCCTTTACTTTGTACCTTATTTACTGTTTATTAAAACACCTTTTCTAAGGCATATGTTACATACACAACTGTATGGGGACCAGTTGCCATGGTACATTATCACCTGTTTATTTTGCTAAACTTGTTTTATCGACGTATGGGGCCTAGGCATTGCTGTTCAGAAAGCATGGCAAACCACAACAGCCAAACAATGCTGGGGTTGGTTCTGCAATGTCCTGTAAAATATACACAGCTACCTTTGTTTTAACACTTATATATTTGAAATAGTATGACATTTATAAAGAGATATGGTTTTCTCTCCACTGTTATTTAATGAGTAGACATTAATAAAGTACAATTAGGAGAAATTAGCTGTGCTGGCATAGTAATTAATACACTTACCCAGGGTCTCCATGGTGAAGTGATCAGGCCATTTGCCTGATCGTGTCATTGAAATGAAAATAAATGTTTGGGGGCTATAAATAACCTGTGTTGTTATATGCATGTAAGACATGGACAGTAAGCAGACAAGCTGAAAAAACATGTACTCGGTGTTCTGTTTTTGAAGAATGCGAAGAATTTCTAGGAATGATACATAAAAAAGTGAGGCAGACCTCTACAAGACAGTTGAAAACTGTAAACTTTTTCAGAGACATTCAGAATTTTTTGTGTATGTTATGAGCAGGAATGGACCTGAGAATTACAACTGGCAAGGGAGAAGAGAAAAAAGCCAGGGGGAAGCAATGAGATTACTGACTGACTGACTTTCTACCCCACCAGGACATCACGCAAGCAATAAACACCTGATGACACAATGTGGATGAGGATCACCGTGGATAGGTCCCAGAAACCGCGTTCAGCCATTAGGCCATATTTATGGCCTGGCTATATTGCGGCCCCTGGCAAGAGCCAGGGTGGGGCTTTAAATAACGAAACATTTCATCCTATAAAGGACGGTAGATTGTGATGTTGTAAGCAATGAGTTACGTAACTGGATGACTTGTCTGAATGGATGTGGTGAGCACTGACCCGGCCATGATTCCATTGGTCATGTGATATGGTGAAACAAATGCCTGTTCTTATCAGCGAGGCATATCGCGATAATGATGTTTCACTTGTATCTGCAAGCCTCATTTTCTTATAGTCTCTGCCATGTGGCATTGGTAATCATGTTTGTCTAATGCCGTCATTCACATGTATTGTCAATCATTTCTTATACAGATCTTCTTCAATGCTACAATGCAAAATTATCTAGAATCGTTTCCCTTGGTTTCCTTCTGATTCTCTTCCCTTTCATCTTTTAACATTCACCAGAGTTTTCACTTCTCATCCTGTGCCCACAGAATAGGAACTGTTTTTTTTGTTTTTAAAGCTGGCAATCAGTTCTTTTTGTGAATTAGCTGATGCAGGTATCATTGCTCCACAAAGAAATCTATGACTGGTTCTGTACCTGGTCTGGAGATCTCTGTTTCAGTACCAGAATATTTGTTTAATAAATACTTATTGTGAAAATAAATACAATGAAAAGAGCATGTGTGTATTACTTTCAAAGAGACAATATATACTGTGCTGTATGTTAGCATATCTGGCCAGATTTCTTTAGCATGTTTGAACCGAATGTAAAATATATAATTACACACTTTGATACAGGAGTCACTGTGGCATAGCGGCTAGACGCTCGCGTGCGGATCAGAAGGCCGTGAGTTCACTCCCTGGCAGCGCTGGACTATTTTCAAAAATGACCTTTACTCCCAGGTCGACCAATCCTCGAGCGGGTACTGTGGGCAGTCCCGGCAGGTAAAGGCAGCCGTCGTGATGCTGACCACATCATCCAACTTGTGCCGATCGGTCTGTTAAAATATAGGTCTAGCCCTATATGCCCAGTTCGCCTAAAGGCGGGGAAAAGAGACCTTTACTTTTACATACATTGTTTGATACACACTTATTTTAGCTGATCACACTCTGAAAGAGTTAAAATGATGCTGATCATTACCCTGCTCTAAAGAGGAAGGCTGTCATTTATCAGTGACCTAATGTAACTAAGATCAGAAAAGTGTAAGGTGTGTTTGTCTGGTCCCTAACTGATGCTTTCAAGCATTTTGACAAAATTCAGATGTACGGTTTGTTGTTCTGCATGGCTTTTTTTTATATCCCTCTAAGACAGGGCTGGAAAACCATTCTCCTGCCAAGGGGTCATTAAGATATAACACTTTTCCGAGGCAATGCAAAATTGTCAGCTGAAAAATTGACCTGCTATGCCTAGCCAAACATTTAATTAACTCTACGTTGTCTCGAGGCATGGTGTCTGCCTCAAGTGCTAGAGGTTCCAGGTTCAATCCCTAGTAAGGGCTGGGATTTTTTCACATGGACGACTTTTAGAAATTTCCCCTGGTCTCTGGGTAGTGAGATCGGACGCCCATGTGCTTTGTTGCGCACGTAAAAAATCCCTTGACAGTTGGAAATCTAAAAGATAGCCTAACGACGCTGCCCGGGCAAAATTTTGATTTAAAAAACTACCCAAAGTACTTCAGGATATTTGCCGGTGCTACAGAGCCTGTGCACTGTGATGAGCTTCTTTGGACTCAGACTTGAGTTAGAAGAAGAACGGAACACTTATGGGTTACACCCGTGTGCCTTGATGCTGATCCATTGTTCAGAACCTCAAACCTTAAACCTCATCCCAAATGTTATGGCTGGATCTCCTGCTTGCTGGTGATTCATTTAATATAATTTTTAATTGCTATGAAAAAAAGCTGCTAGATTTATTGGTGTTGCAGACCTGCGTGCAGTTGCCTGGGCAGGCTCAGACCAAATGAATTAAAGGGCCATAGAAGACCTGCAGGATGGAAGTTCCCCAGCCCTAATCTAAGGCATCCAGTGCTTTAATAGTATTACAAAGTACTGCTTGCTTACTTTGGTGTCAAAATAGGTAAAAATTCAGAGCTCAAAATTTCATCTTTATAACTACTAAAGTTAACATACAGAGATGCAAGCTTCATTTGTGACTTGATTAAAAATTCACATATTCAAGCTTTCATTTCTGTAAGATTCAGAGAATCAAGTTTTATACAACTATTCATGTAAACATCAAAAGATTTATTTAAAAAAACGGCCAATTACTGCCTTATTATACAACTTTTGCGGTGTACGCAGGGGAGTCTTTGAGCCTGAGGATTTACGGCCGCATGGCTACTGCTGTCGCCACGACTGTGCAGGTGAGGATTTTTGTGTGTGCCCCTGGCAGAAAAATCTCTAGCTTTATCGAGGATTCGAACCAGGGTTTCCTGCTTGAGAGCCCAGCATTCTAACCGTTTGGTCAGCCAGCCGCTTCTCAACATTAAGAGATTCCAACTTTTAATTTTGAAACTCTTTTAAGTAAATATTTAATGAGTCTAACTTTAATATTTTTTTTTAAATAATTTTTTTTATTGCCCAAGTGTTTAGATATTCCCGGCATTCGTGGCTTAGGCGTTGCGATTCTGACTTGTAATTCCAGTGTTCCGTGGTCGAAACCCTCTGCTGGCTGCCTGGCTTTTTATCATGGTATGGGACATTGCAGGTCGATGCAGTCTAAAATGGGTACCAGAATTGCTGTCTTAGGGAAGTAAAGACAACATTACCCACTAGTGCTGATTGGTCTGTAACAATATGGGTGCTCTTCCCATATACCTGATGCGCCTAAAGGCGTGAAAAGGGATCTTTCCTTTTCTTTTTTTATAACTTATTTAGATATTCAAACGCGCATTTTTAAAGCTTAATTTAAGTAAGCATTCTGAAATTCATGCTTTTATTTTGATGATTATTTAGTCAACATTCAGAGATTCAAACTTTCTTCTAGGCTATTTTTTTTTTTTTCTTTTTACTTTTAATCTGTGAATCGATCCATTTACTTTGAGTACATTTCTGGTTTTTTTTTTTTTTTTACTCAGAAAAGTCACTGCTGACTTTTCTTAAAGGCCCCATGCAGAAAGATTTCTCCAGATTGCATAACATAATCTCTTATTGTAAGCGCCCATGATGGTTTCTTAAGTAGTGTTAATATTGGATTGTCCCGCGTGTTGTGATGTTGATTCTTTTTTCAACAATCAAAGTAATGTTAGTCACTAACAAGCACTAATCAACATCAGGATTTCCTTGAAAGAATGTTGTATATATTTTGTTAATTTGTTCACTGTTTGTGGTAGATGGAACCCGTTAGCCTTGGACAGCAGTCCATCTAGGAACCGGCAAACTCAGAACATAAACCCCCAAGTTCAAGGTGGGCCAACGTGCTGAGGAACTGGATGGCCACAGGTGAGCTGGTCGTGAACGTTGGATGTCTGGCGGGCGTGCGGGGCGGCACCAGGCATAATGGGACATCCATTGCCCTTTCTCTAGCAGGCAGGCAATACTAGGGTGACCGGTCATTTCCTGCAGTACTCTATTTTTTGCACATGGATTTCAAAAAATAAACATAGGAATCGTCGGCAGAGCTACAGGGCACGTGCTCTGCACTTGACACATTTTTCAGCAGTTCCTGAAGAGGTAGTGAGGAGGAGACGACGAGGGAATGGGGAGAGAAGAAGGCATAGAAATAGGAGGTCAG